AATTTAATAACATAGACATGGAGAATTTACATAGCTGAAAAATTCTAAAGTAGATGGATAGGCTGGGATTTATATCCTCTGCTATGGGGCCAAGGATATCAAGGAGAGTTTTACATGACAAGGAGGGATGACTTCATACAAGAAAACCTTGCCTTTAGGTGTTTGCCCTGCCTTAAGATAGTTTTCTCAGATAGAAAGGTGATTCCTGGATACATCCCTAAATCTAGATAATCTGCATTCTTTTAGTAATGGTAACAGTTTCTCCCCAGGCACAAAGGCCCTCAATTGACCTTAGTTCCACATTCCCAGGTGACACTACCGGAAAAGGCCCACTTTGGATATCTTAGAGAAAGTCTATTTGAATCTTTTGGGCAAGACTGATCCTCTAGGCTGTTGTCATATGAGTCCCCATCTCTCCCCTTAAGCTTCAAGCCTCTGTTCCATTCCCTACTTCTGGTATATACCCTCCTTTTGCCCTGCTGGGTTTGAACCCACATCTATGTCTATTCTCCATACTATGTAATTAAATTTGTTCTTTTCTTCCACTAATCTGTCTGACCTTAATAGATTGTTCAATCAGCCTGAAAAGAACCCAGAGGCATAGGGGAAAATTTCCTCTGCTCCATAATGGTTGCAACTATTCAACTCCACTACTGTAGCACAAAAGCAGTCATAGACAATGCATAGCTGTGTTCAAGCACCCTCTCTCTTTTCTGCCTTCTGGGATAACAGAAATACAAGAAAGTATTTTCTTTACAAACTACAATTACTACTATAGAAATGACATTAAGCATTTAAAGTTTGTCTTGATAGATAATTATTGTAAACAAATCAGCAAAAGCACTGAACAGCCAGAATAAGGAAATAGTTGAGTTCCACAGGGTATTTATTAAATAAGGGCTTGTTGAGTAACAGTGTTGAGCAATGGAAATATTACTTAACTGCTTGAACTTTTATTCTGATGAGAGCATTTAATTTATCTTGCCTTTTTGAATAGTGAACTTCATTTCTATCTTTGTGAGATCTCTTCTTATTTATCTGTCTTATCCATAACACCCAACACAGGGCAATGCATAAAAAGAGTCAAAATGTGTTTTCAATCAAGGCTCACAATCAAGTAGCTTGTGAGTCACATATGTTTTCTTTGGCCATTATCATGTTTTTTAAACTGAATTTGACTTATTTAGGCAGGGCATTCATTTTCCAGTTCACTACAGATCCTACTATTTACTCCTCTTGAATACCATTTCATGGTTTTCTCTTCCTGGCCAGTGAAGGCATTTTAATTTGTTCCCCATGTGTTAAATAAAAGAAAAAAATTAGTGCAAATTAATCTATATGCTATGATTTGCTAACCTACAGCACTGAAGCATGTGTTTTACCTGTCAGCAATGTTTCAGTGTGTACTTTAATAAAATTGACTTTTCTTAAAAATGTTCTATTCCTTGGGAGTATTATCAGAATCCAATATAGAATGATATGCACAAGATTACACAGAGTATATAAAATAAATGCATTTGTAGGAAGGGAGTATAGGAGATTCACCAAAGTGCTAGGTTATTAACCTTTGGCTTGTGGGGTTATGGCTTACTTTTCTTCTTTTATTTCTTTTTTCAAGTTTTCTTCAGTAAGCATGAATTACCTTTCTAATCAGGAAAAAAAATTCTTTTGCAAAAAAAAAAAAAAATCTTACACAAATTCAAGTTGACTGCCCTTCCTGCTCTTGAAATTTGGAATGAGGAACTCAGTAAGTATTGAGTGCCAAGTTGGTGCCAGGCATGGTTCTTTCTATGCACCCACAGTGACCCTATGAGGGAAAGGCATTAAAGCTTTCATTTTTGAGATAGAGAACAATTAGTTCAGTTTTATTTAATGGAAAATTTTTGAAAGTTCCAGAACACAAGGATATAGAAATCTAAAGAAAAGAGGGAAAAGAAAGAGATTTTAAAGATTAAAATTAAATTAAAACCAGTGAAAAAGGGCCTCCCTGGTGGCACAAAGGGTTAAAGTCTCAGCGCTGTCAAGCTATTACCAGCCACTACAGCACAAGTTTGATCCCCAGCCAGGGAGCTAACCCACATGGCACAGCAGACCTCAACTGTCTTGCCCGATGCTTCCCTCAGCAGTGTATTTCAGTAGATCCACCTGTTCTGCTCCCCACTCTGTCTTTAGTGAATCCTCTCTACCACCACCACCCCCAAACCTCTGGTTTACAGCCCATTTCTTGTATGCATAAATAAAATAAATCTTAAAAAAAAAACAGTGAAAGAAGAGAAAGAAAATAACAGAGAATAAAGACATAGGAAATGATAATTTATTCATGGACTCACCAAATATTTAGTTTTAACTATTTCAAAACACTTAACTGGAGACTGGGGCAATCGGGCAGGTCAGACCCAGATGGAAAGACAGCACACATATGATAGATTTTCTATGGTTTCTAAAGCTTCTCTATGTGAATCATACATGTGAATGTCATTAACATAATATCCTACATTCCTGGAGAATAAAATTGAGATAATATACTTGCCAACAACAACAACAACAAAAAATCAAAGGAGGGAAATGAGTCATCTGGGAGAAACTGCAAAGTGAGTTAAGAGGAAAAAGGAATTACTTCTGGCTAGAGGCATATAGAAGATGAGGGAAGAAGTAGGTGCTCACCCCAGAGTCTCTCCTGAGTGCCAGGACTCTACTGCCAGCTGTTTACTGGCTATCTCTCCCAAGTGACCTGAAGGTCCCTGAAACTCTGTGTCCTCATCTCAATCTGTCACCTACTACCTCCTCCCTCCGTGTTCCTCACCCCACTTAATAGGATTATTATTCATTCTGTTCATTTATTCAACAAGTCATCACTGAGTGTCTGGCATGTGTGGGCACTAAATCTAGTAAAAGACACAGATATTAAACAAGTAAACACAAAAATATAAAAGTACAGAAAAGAAAAATGGTTTTTAAGATTGGATCTTCAGAGTAGACTTCTTTGAAAAAATAACATATAAACTGAAGGGTGAGAGGGAGCTAGGAAGTTTCATGGTTGAAGGTGAGGTTCCCAGCAGAGGGAACGGCCTGGGCAAAGAACTTGAGGTAGAAGAAAGAAAACCTCTGTAACTATTGATACATCAAGGGAAAGAGGGGATGACAGAGGTGCAGTGGAAAGTAAAGGAGGAGAGGTAACCAGAGCCTGACAGTTTCTCCTACAACTTCTGAACTGTGTTCTAAATGCAATGAAGACTTAGCAATGAAAACACATACCATTCTTACCCTCATGGAGTGCACAGCCAGTGAGAAACACAGACTGCTGAACAACTGTTATCAATCTGGTCATTAGTGTTAGGTTAGGGGACATGTTAGAGTCTTATGAAAGCACTGAGGAAAGACCCTAATCCAGTCTGACAGGTATGGAACCACCAGCACAACTAGTCTTCAGAGTATACCTTCTAATCTGTCTTCCACACTGCTGCCAGCCATTTTTCCCTAACACAAAGAAGAGCATGTTAAAACCATCCATGGCCTCCCAGAAGAAAATTTCCAAACTCCTTGATCTCATGTCTCCATTCGATCCTAACTTTTATCTTCTTGGTTTAAAACTCCTACTACTTAGTACCTAGACACAATGATTTTAAAAAAAAAATTTTTTTTTTACTTAACACATGGTAAGAAATACATCTTATTAGTACAAAAGTACATATCCCCATAAAACACTAATACAAAAGTTTCTCAAAAATAATGCAAGTAGGACTATTCTGACCACCCTTCACCCAAGCAGCCTGGACCCCCAGAGTATCCTATCCTTCTTTATTGCTCATCTGTCAAGTTCCCACCAACCTTTCAAGATTTGGTTCAAATGTTATTTCTTCAGAGAATCCTTTTGAGACACTTCCCCATTCACCACGCTTCCAACTTTAGAAGTCCCAGGGGATGGGACATCCTATATGACAGCCTTGTAATGGAGGGGGTAGCATAATGGCTTAAAAAAAAAAAAAACATACAAACTGGAGCCTCGCTGGTGGTGCAAGGGGTTAAGCACCATACTATGAAGAAATCCACAGCCTCTGCAGCATGAGTTCGATCCCCGGCTGGCCAGGGAGCAACCCACTGAGGCAAAGCAGATCTCTCCTGTCTTGCCCTGCTACTCCCCTCAGCAGTGTGTTTCAGTCAGTCTTCCTGTTCTGTTCCCCACTCTATCTCTGGTGAATCCTCTCTCTCTTTCTCACTTTCTCTCTCTTTCTCACACATACACACACACACACACACACACACGCTTCTCTGGCCTGTATCCCAGCTCTTGTATGCATAAATAAATAAATCTTAAAAAAAAAAAACATACAAACGAATTAGTCTGCTCTGGACTAGGTTTTCTGGACATCAGCAACCTAGCTGTTTGATCTCAGACCCCCAGATAGGGTCTATTCTGAAGCAAAGCCAGGGGATGTTATGCTGAATGAAACCCTCCCTATACCCTCACCATCTTGTTTGTGCACCAAACTGCCTTTCTTTCTATACCTCAAACACACCAAAGTATTTCCTCCCTGAGTCTTACTGTAGCACTCTTTCCCCAGTCATTTCCATGGAAGGCTGCTCCAACTTCATCTTTAGATCAATAGTCTACTGTCAGAGAGGCTGTCTGCCCAATCTCCCACCACATTCCCTTTGTCTTCATGGCATTTATCACTCTCTAAAATTACCTTGCTTTCTGTTTGTTAACTTATTTGTCTCCTCAAACGTTAGCTCTTTGAGGGTCTGCCAAGTTCCCCCAGTAACTTAAGCAGCTAGAAAAGTACATAGAAAAGTACATAGCTCATAGTAAGCCCGCAACAAAATATCCGGTGACGAATGAGTTAAGTAGCAATGAAGGCAGACAAGACCAGTCTAGAAAATCGCCTTAAAGGTTTGCTGTCGGAGCGGGGTGCCAGGGGTTAACGCCGGGCACCCGCGCCCCCACCGGTGAGGGACAGGGTGAGGAAGGTGAGGCGCTCAGGTGCCGTTTCAGGGCCTACCAGTAATACGTGACTGTGCAGGCCGTGCACACCCGCTCCGCCGGGGCTTCGCACACCTCACAGCAGAGCCGGCGCCCCTTGGGCACCGCTAGGGGGTAAATCACGTCCATGTCGGGGCCGGCGGTGTCGGTCTCTAGGACGGTTGCCTGGAGAGGAAACGCTGGACGCAGGGGTCACGTGACAGCCACCGGGCCGCCGGGTTCCCAGAGTTTCAAGGACCGGGAGAGGCGTGCCTCGCTTGACACCTGGCGCGTTTGTGGGGTTAAGTAAACAGAACCAAAAAAGAAAAAGAAAAAAAAAAAATGCCACAAGTCCTAAGGGTGAAAGGACCGACCAGGCAGTCCAACTCCAGTGGAGCCCAAGTCCAAAAAGGGCAACTATACGTGGTCGGTAATGGGGAAATACAGCTTATTTTTCATCCAATCTAGGAAACTAACTTAAGGAGAGGCGGAGGGATCTGGAAAGATCTGGAAAGATGCCTGCTTGATCTAGCACTCCAGTCAGTTCAGTGTCAATTTCGCTGGGAATTTTTTTTTTAAATTTATTTATTTATGCGCACAAGAGCTGGGGTACAGGCCAGAGATGCGGGGGGTGAGAGGATTCACCAGAGACAGAATGGGGAACAGAACAGGCAGACTGACTGAAAATACACTGCTGAGGGGAGCAGTGGGTGAGTCAGGAGAGGTCTGCTGCGCCATGTGGGTTTCTCTCTGGCCAGTCGGGGATCGAACTCGTGCTGAGCGGTGCTTAACCCCTTGCACCACCAGGGAGGCCCTTATTTTATTTTTTATGCATACTAGACTGGAGTAGTAAGCCAGAGGTGCTAGGGGAGGTGGTGAGAGGATTCACCAGAGACAGAATGGGGAGCAGAACAGGCAGACTGACTGAAATATACTGCTGAGGGGAGCAGTGGGCGAGTCAGGAGAGATCTCAGCGACACGTGGGTAGCTCCCTGGCCGGGGATCGAACTCGTGCTGCACAGGCTGCATAGGTTGCGTCCTAACCCTTGCGCCACCGGGGAGGCCCTCGCTGGGAACTGGTGAAGAACGAGCACACATTCCCAGACCGGAGAAACCCAGCGCCACCTTCCAGCGTAGACAGGTACCGCCCCGTCGCCACTGCGGCTGCGCGCGATCAGGTACAGCGGCAGGGGGCGTGGCGCCGGCGGCCCTGAAGCGTGCGCAGGCGCGGGGGTCGCCCTGGGACTGATGGCGGAAGTTGACCTGGTCGCCGAGTTCCCCCAGCCGGCGGGTGCCGCGCGTTGGGCCGAGGTCATGGCTCGCTTCGCGGCCCGGCTGGGCGCGCAGGGCCGACGGGTGGTGTTGGTCACGTCCGGAGGCACCAAGGTCCCGCTGGAAGCGCGGCCGGTGCGCTTCCTGGACAACTTCAGCAGCGGCCGGCGCGGTGCAACCTCGGCCGAGGCCTTCCTGGCCGCGGGTTACGGGGTCCTGTTCCTGTACCGCGCTCGCTCTGCCTTCCCCTTTGCCCATCGCTTCCCGCCCCAAACCTGGCTGTCAGCCCTGAGGCCCTCCGACCTGGCCCGCTCGGGCTTGCTGAGCTTGGAGGCCGAGGAGAATGCACTCCCAGGCTTCGCTTCGGCTCTGCGGAGCTACCAGGAGGCTGCTGCTGCCGGCACCTTCTTAGCGGTAGAGTTCACCACTTTGGCAGACTATTTGCATTTGCTGCAGGCTGCGGCCCAGGCGCTCAGTCCACTAGGTGCGTGTCTTTGGAGTCCGTCGGTTGCCTGCAGGCAGAGCCTTTCTCACCAGACATGTTACTCCTACCCCATCATTAACCTTGGGTCTTAAACAGCTGGGGAACCCAAGTTGAAAAATGAGCTGATCCTGTACTGCTCTTCGATTCATTGCACCATGTGCTTTTCTTTTCAGGCCCTTCTGCGATGTTTTACCTGGCTGCGGCCGTGTCAGATTTCTATGTTCCTGCCTCTGAAATGCCTGAACACAAGATCCAGTCATCTGGGGGCCCACTGCAGGTGGGCGCTTCTCTTCCAGAGATCTGGTCCCCTATAACCAATCTTGGGTTAATTCCCTCTTGATCTGGAGATGGCTTTTCTGCATTCCTTATGTGCTAGGCACTTGGGATACAGAGATGAATAAGACACCGCCCTCCCTCAAGGACCTCACAATCTAGTGAGGGAGCTGGACACAGACAGAATTACAGTACACAATGATAAATGCTGTGGTAGAGGTGTGTACAGAGTGCGGACAGAGTATGGGGTGAAAGGACCTTGGGAAACTCAAGGAAGGTTTACTGGAGATGACTTGAACTCAGTTTTAAAAGATGAGCACAGATTATTCCGCAACAGTTGGAGATGAGTGCTGTGAACTAAACTTGTTTGGTAAGGCTGGAGAGGGGGAGAGAGGTGAGGGTGGAGGGCAGACTGAAGAGACAACTTTGTTCATAGAAGACTATTGTTCTTAAGGAACTTGGATTTTATCCTGTGGAGCCAGGGGTCACCAAGATAAAATTTGTTTGAAAAGAACACTATGGCATCAGTGGGAAAGGTGAATTAGGGAATGGAGGGGGTAAATTAGTTGGTAGTTTAAAGAGGAGATATGGGGAAAGGTAGAGGTGTTCAAGTGAAAATAAAATCAGTTTTGTTTCCTTATTTCCAAGTTGTGCTCTAAGAAACAATTTTTAAATGGAATCAAATAATCATTCTACAAGTGCAAGAAATACTTTCGGTTGAGAGGTTTTAAAACTCAATTTTATTTGAGTTTCTAACAAAGTAACATGTGCATGAGTAAATTATTTGAATTTGTTTCTTTGAGGTTTTGATTTTAAAAATAAAGGTGAATGTTTGAGAAAATGAAGTTCTAAAGGTTCTTTAAAAAATAGTCATGAGGATAGCAGGACTAATTCATAAAACACAGTTTGTCCCAGAATATGTATTAAGCCTTTAAATCAGGTATCATTATGAACCATACAGAGCAAAGGCTTTTAAGCTAAGCATTTAATATGTTTTGAGAAGTTTGACTACTAGAAATCCACTTAAATTTACAGAGCCATAAATTTGAGTCCCTGCTTCCTTAATTTCGCATAAGACTGACCTAGTAGTTAGTGACATTTGCTTATTAAGCTTTTCTTTTTCCAATACAGATAACAATGAAGATGGTGCCAAAAATGCTTTCTCCTTTGGTTAAAGACTGGGCTCCCAAAGCATTTATAATTTCCTTTAAGTTGGAGACTGACCCCTCCATCGTAATTGATCGTGCACGAAACGCTTTGGAAGTTTATCGACATCAAGTGGTGGTTGCTAATATCCTTGAGTCAAGACGGTCCTTTGTGGTTATTGTAACCAAAGACTCAGAAACTAAGTTATTGCTATCTGAGGAAGAAGTAGAAAAGGGTATAGAGATAGAAGAGAAGATAGTGAATGATCTTAAGTCTCGACACACAGCATTTATTTCTGACAAAAACTGAAGTAAAAAGCCCTTATAGGATCAAAATTCGTTCAGTGGACCAGGGCTCTTACCTATGATGAGAATTAGAATGAATTCTTTGCTTTTTTAAAGTTAGAGACAATGAAGGGAAAAAGCAGTGAGAGATGTGCAGACTGACATGATTTAGTAATGTCTTTTAAGGCCATTTCATACAAGTATGAAACAAAGGCAAAGCAATTATGACACCTGCCTGACAGTTGCCTGAATGTGATCTTGATTTTGAAAATGAACAGGAGCTGTTTCTCATCTTTTAAAAAAGAGCTTTTGGGGAATTATATTCCTCAAAATATACATGTGGGGCCTGAATAGCAACTGTGTCCATACCATAAAAAGGATTATGGATACGTGAATAGCTATAGATCAGCCACTTGTTGATGCCTACTCTGTGGTAGGCCCAGAGGATTAAAAAGGTGAATAAACATGTAGTTTGGGAAATGGATATATAAAAAATTAAGTGCAATAAAGTGTGTGCCTAAAAGCTGACACAATGGAAAGGATGTTGTTTTTTGGCAATTTATCAAAGATGGGAGTAGGAGAGAAAGACATATGCCTGAAGTTAGATTGCCTGTAGAGTGAACTTCCCACTCGTTTACTTCGTGCTTTTTGTCCTAGACTCATTCCATATTTGAGTTAATTTACTTTCAAATATTTTAGAACTGCTCTTCTGGGAAACTAAACCCTGGACCTCCACCTGGGAGCAGGCAGGGACTACTTGGTGACCTCTGCCCAGAGGGAAGCATGACAGTCATCTGAGCCAGGTTTGACCTCTCCAGCTATGCCATCTGTTAGCTTTATCAGTGTAGACGGGTGATTTAATGTAATATAATTTGTTTTCTCATCTGTAGAAGGGGATAATAAAGTTTTGCCAAATAATACTAGTTGTGAGGCTTAAGCAATACATTTAATGTAAGCATTAGCCTGCTTCTTGCACATAATTCACACTCAACGGGTGGTTGCAATTATAATTTTTCTCACTTAGCAAGACAGTGTTGTGACAGTACCTTCTCCTTGAGTCCTTGAGAAGTTTTCAAAGAAATTTTCACTGTCCTTGGCCTTGGGTTGAAAGTGCACAAGAATTATAGTCCAGAAAAGTTACCTAAATGATCTGTAGAGTGGTCCAGAGTAAAATTTGAAAAACTGCTAATAACTAGGTGGAAGGAAGTACCGTGCTTCATATAAATATTTAACTTTAAATGTGATTTGTGAGATTACATGGCATGACTTGGGAAGAGTAGCCAGTGTATTTAATTGATAATGGAAGTACAATAAATTTTACTTGAAAAGATTTGAGGAGTGTCGAGGTGCACTGAAATACTTCATTATATCAAAAGTGACCTTCACTAGAGGAAAAATAACTGCAGCAATTAGGACTGTTACTAAAGAGCAGTCCCATTGGACAAAATTTTTAAATCAACTTCAGGTCCAGTTGGCAAACCCTCAAAAAGCACAGGCTTTTTGTCAGCAATAGCTGCAGTACTGAAGGGGCAGGAAGTAAAAGATGGATTTTCTTCCCTACACCTATAGCTTTATGTGGATGACGGTCATTTTCATCTTTGAATGTAGAAATAGAATAAATGGAGTTAAAACTAGAAGTGATCCTAGTGTTTGTGTTTACTACTTACCAAAACTTCCTGTTTTGGTAATGATTAAAAGCAACAACCACTACGCCACATGGAATTATTTCCATTCAGGACACTTAAACAGTGTTTGCATATGTGAATATTCCAGGAAGATTTTTCATTTGTCTTAGCAACAAATGAAAGTATGTAAAGAAAGAAATAATGAAAAGGAACATGAGTTAATAAAAGCAAACTTGATCTAGATTGGAGGACCAAGGAATGTTTCCCCAAGGAAGTGACACTTGAACTAATAAATAGGAGTTAAGTCAACTGCAGGCAATGGTGTTGAGCATTTTCGACCAGAATGCTGACACAACCCAAAAACTTGTGAAGACTCTGGTACCAGAGTCTTACTTTTTAAAAAGCACTTCGAAAAAGTAAGTGGTAAGATCAATTCAGATATGCATATAGAACCAGCAAAACTTTGCAAAGGCTCCCGAAGAGAACTATATTAGACTAAGATAATATGAGTATTGTGTTTGGGATACCAGAAAAGTAAGGGCCCCCAAACCATGAGTAAAATCAAGCTCCGATGAACTAACTAGAATCTTGCAACCAGAGCATGTAAATGAAAATGATATAAATTGAGCCTGTTTACATTTGTGTCGTTTAGAAATTTTTATTTCGTGTTATATAGGTAGAGGATATGATTGACCTAAACCGAGTTTTCAATGCCATTAATTCAGTGATAATTCTAGTGGAGTCCGGTTTCTTCATTTTTACAATAAGCCGGGTGGAATAATGTTGTCTTAGGTGCCCCGGATAGTGTCACTTCTAGGCCTAAAATTCAGAACTCCCGACCTAGCTCCTTTTGAAGAAGAAAGTCACTACCAGAAAATTAAATCCAAAGCCGGAGCTCCAGGAAAGGCCTGACGGCAAACTACTTGAGCACTACAGACGCCGGCGCTCCAGGTTGCGAATAGGCGCTTTGGCGTTACCATGGTTACCACAAAGCCAATGGAACGGGCGGCACCTTCGACCCAGCCGGAAAAGCCCTGCCCGGCGCCGCAGAGGCCGGCGGTGCGCATCGTAACCACGGTTTCCACAGGAAGGACGGCCCCGCAGCCACTGACATCGTCGTTTCCATGGTTCCCGCCGGAAGGACGTTCTGGCGTCTCTCACCAGCGAGCGCGGTTGCTATGGCGCCCGGGGCTCCTGGGGCGCCCGCGGCTAGCTGCTGAGGCAGACGGAGCGGGGGGACCCCGGGCCCTCGCCGCGGCCCTCGCCGCCTCCCACAGGACCAGCTCCGGCCCGGGCCCCGCGGGCCCCGCCGCGCACCTCCTCCTGCCCTCAGGCCTCGCCCGCTCGCTCCGGGAGGGCCCGCAACCCCGGGAACGGCTCCACCTAGCTCGGCCCTGCTAGCCGCGCACCGGAGGGATTCGGCTGGAAAGGGGGTTCCCGGGCATCTAGGGTGACGCCACTGAGAAGGTCTCGAGCACCCCGACTCCGTCAGGCGGGCGTTCCTGTCTTCACTGGACGGAAAAGACTGACCTGCGCGGGCGACTGCGCTCGAGGGACCAGGCGCGTCCAAGTCCACCGAGCTCCGGCTTCCCCCGGGTGTAGCCCGGGAACAAAGAGCTGCTTTGGGGGGTCCTGTACTTGTCCTGCGGAACCTTCCTTCCCGATGAAGCTCTGGAGGCCTTTGGGAGCCCCAGCATCAGACGTCAGCAAGTCAGTGAGCTTCTGCCTTTCAAGCTCCAGCCGCAGCCACTCCTCTCGTCACCCCGAGCAGCGTTCTCTCACCCTGCGCCTCACACGGCCATTTTCACCCTCGGTTGTCCACGCTGCACATCACCGAATGTCCGTGCGTCTCCACTAGCTCTGTCTTCCGTAGAACACCTCCTCCTGCTTGCCTGCCACCATGCTTTGGGTAGCTAAGTATTTCACGTTCTCCATCTCTGAAATCCTTTGGAAGATTTTCTCCGCCTCCCTTCACTATGGCAGGCTTTCTGTTTGGGGGAAACTAAAAGACTAGGATGGAGAAGCACACGTTGGTAAATAATGCAGTAAATTTCTACAAGCCTAGTGTGTTTGGAAAATGAAGGGAACCATGCATTGGGGGATCCATTTCAGGCTTAAGGAAAGAAGATTGTTCCTTGTTTAAGTGAATCCAATGTTAGACGTTTCACTGACGTATTCATGCATGTGAAAAGATCATTCGGAATGATCATGTAGCAGGATTTCAACTTTAAGCCCATGTGAATCCAACGTCTTGGTACTGTAGAATTTTCTATAGAGAGGAGATGCCTTTGACAGTTCTTACACCTCTTCCTGTCAATTTCTTTAACAGGAAACATTCTTTGTGATGGGAAACAAGAAAAAAGAATGAGAAGGGGTGATTGAAAAGAAATATTTTTGGCAAGGGAGCAGGCTTAATGAGCCTAAAAAGACTGGAACAGAGGGACTTGAAAACAGAGTGAGATTCACTTAGAGCCTGTGCAGTTTCATTTTAGCTTGGAAAAGTACTTCATTGGTCCAAAGTATGCGTTCCTTGTTGAATCTTACTATTTCTTCTTCTTCAGTATTCAAGTTTAAATGTAAACTGATTTTGAGGATATGCAAAGCATACATTTTTAACGGGTAAAACTGGGGGAGGAGAGCTCTGATGATTTGGACATTTTTTATTTCTGAGACCAGTTTATTATTTGTGATGTCTCAAGCTTGGAGCCAGGTCATGTTTCCAAGTACTTTACAATTAGCTGTCTTATCTATAATAGTCTGGAAAAGAAAAACAAATTCTACAGCTTTTTCAATTTTTTGCATTAAATGCAAACAAAATAAATTCTCTCATAAAAAAGAGACTGTTAGATGCTATACATTGAGCTTTCCTTTCTCCCTTCCAATATGTATTTATGAAACATATGTCATTTTGACAACATCAACATAATTTTTTTTCCATTTCCTATAACTCTAAATCAGTGATTCTAAACCTCAGGAACCATTTTGCCCCCTAAGAGAGATTTTGTCAACGTATGGAGACATTTACAGTTTTAAATACAGGGGATATGATACTGGCATCTAGTAGGCAAAAAGAACCAGGGACATACATCCTACTTTGCCAAGAACATCCCCCACAACAAAGAATTATCCTATCCAAAATGTCAATAGTATGGAGGTTGAGAAACCCTCTCCTAACATATCAACTTTTCATTTTTCTGTTCTGTGTCAGTCCTTGCATGTGATGATAGCAAAAGTTTGTCTTTTCAGTTTTTATATTTTAAGCATTTAGATATAGCTACATTGTTTTCCACTTTTAAGTGATTTTCTCCTCATTTTGCTTGGGAATGGAAAAGGAAGAAGTGGTATTGTAAGTATTGTATTTAAGATGTCTGCAAGTTTTAAATTGTATTTAAAGGAAGGAAGAAAGAAGGATTAGGGTGAATAACCTGACTGGATAGTTCTGTTTCCGTGGCCATACTCTCTACTTTGTTCCCTAGTATAATACAAAGACCATGGGATCCAAAGCTCATCCTTAGCTCAGAGCCAGGGAGATGTACTTGTAGCACCAGGTATGGTCCTGGCCCCTCCCCTGTAGTTGAAGGGCTGTTGTGAAGAGAGAGATAAGAGCAAGTGAAAATGACTGTGCACCCATTCAACTTGTCCTCTTCCCCACTTATCCATCTCTTTTCTCTTTTTTCTACTTGGCTTTACCATTTCATTCTTTACATCTAGAAGATGCCAAAACACTATAGGATGTGCCTCTTCCCAGAGAGTGGATTTGTAAGACATTTAATGAGCATTTATTCAATATTTATATTGTAGAGAATGGTATGCTTTTGCATACTTTGTTAAGTAGTGCAGTTTTAGGCACAGTGTAGATGTCAAAGCCTTTATAATTTAAAGAGTGGATTTATATTACCCCAAGGCCTGGTTTTTTAGAGTTTTGTTGTTTTTTTTTTTTTTTTTTTGGTGGGACCCTTGCCGGCGGCTGGGGAACGAACCGGCGCTGCAGAGGCTGCAGACAGCCTCACAGCCCAGCGCTCAACTGCTGCGCCACCAGGGGAGGCCCTTTTTTAGAGTTTTTAAATTACTGAACCACTGAACGCTTTGAGATATCATGGCAGAACATGGCAGAGGGGCCCAGGTATTCAAAGTCATGGACATACAAGCCACATGACAGAATAAATAAGAGCTAAAGTCAAGATGTGGCAGAAGCTAAGGCTGGTGTAGTGGCAGGAACAAGATGATAAAGAGTCTCTAGTGCAAAGCTGAGGGGGTTGAACTCTTCCTTGGGGCAATAGCAATGCTAAGCATTCAAAATAGACTGAGAGCTTTGTGGAGCACAAAATGGAAATGTAGCCAGCCTGCAGCAGGGCAAGCAGTTAAGGATGCTATTATACTAAAGTGGGTAAATAATAAGAGCCTAAACCCTAAGGAAACCACTTTAGATGTGGACAGTATGAATTAGGAAAAAAAGAAAAGAAAAAAAATGATAAAAAGGGGGCTTCCCTGGTGGCACAAGTTGTTAAATCTTAGCACTATAAAACTATTGGCAGCAACTGCAGCACGAGTTCAATGCCCAGCCAGGGAGGTGACCCACATGGTGCAGCAGACCTCTCCTGTCTCACTCGCTGCTCCCCTCAGCAGTGTATTTCAGTCAATCTGCCTGTTCAGCTCCTCACTCTGTCTCTGGTGAGTCTTCTCACACACACACACACACCTCTGGCCTATACCCCAGCGTTTGTATGCATAAATAAAATCTTTTTTTGTAAAAAAGAAAATGATAAAAAGAAGTAGAATCAACAAATTCATACACTGGTTGTATATTAAATAGGATAAATGAGGAGGAGTTAAGGATAACTCCCAGGTATCTGAGTTAGGAAAATGTATCAATGGTGATTTTATTAATTGTGCAATAAGAAGGAGAAACAGATGTAAGGGAAAGAAAAGTGCATTATTCAAACCAAGTTGTTCAACAATTAAATATTCATTGGTCTTAAATAGTGGCCTCATTTTATATTGCTTTCTTATCTTACATCCTCTTCTCTGGCACTTCTGCTCTGCCAATTCTTACTTAACAGTAGGCTTTGGTCACTATATTTGTAGCCCTATTTGCAGCCCCTTCCAGCCACAACTGACTGAAGATTACACAACTAAATTTGAAGAGGGGGACATAATTCATTGGATGAACAGCAAATTGACTTGTTTTCATAAATTTGAACTAAGATAAAGAACAGGGGTGACTTAATCTGAAAAGTCACATAGGCTTAGGACTTGAATGACTGTTTTTACCTTTGCTGATGAGTAAGTAGAAAAAGTCCATCCATGTAGAAAAGCAAGTAAATAGGGCCAGAAATCAAAGATCTCATGTGTTTGGCCAAATTTGTAATGGCTCTCTAGCGCCATATCCAATCCCTATGTAACCATGTGTAGTGTCCAGCATATGCCCTTGTGGCTGCTTCTCTTAGAGACCCTCCTATAAGTAGTTGGGATTGATTGATGGTGAGAGACAGAAAACACAAAATAATTGTGGCTTGAAAAGGATGTAAATGTATTTCACTTAAAACTCAAGAAGAAAGCAGTCAGAACATAGGTCAGAATCTTGAAGTTGTCAGAAACGCAGATTTCTTTGCTTATGATGGTACATCATCGGTGACATGTAACTTCCACTTTGTGGTGGCCATATGGCTCTTCAAATTTCAGCTAACTTGTCTGCATTCCAGTTGAAAGGAAAAAGGCGAGAGGAGAAAGGCATCCTGTTCCTTTAAGGACATTTCTAAGAGGTAGCACACAATGCATGTACCATGCATTCCATTGGTCGGCGCATGGTACACAATTATATCTAGCATTAAGCTGTATTTTCAGAAAAAAAAAAAGATGTCATATTTCTGTGGAAAGAGGGAAGAATAATGGCATCGGGCAGTCTTTGCCACATGTACTTGTATTTTTTCTCACTTCAGTATGTTTGTATTTCTTGTGACTTTTTCTAGATATATCTGGAGCTTAGCAGAGATGGATTATTATTTAATCCTCCCAACAACCCAATGAGGTAGGCATTATTCTTATATCCATATGATTTCAGAGAATTCAAAGTTTAAGGAAGTTAGGTGACGTACCTAAGTCAGACTCTTATACCCAAGCTCTTTCTTAATCACCATGATAGTGAGAAGAACAGAGAGCAAAGGCCTAGGTTCCTAGAAATGGTGGCCTTTGAAGGGTCTGTGGAAGAACACAGAGAGGGAAAGCCAGAGAAGTAAAGTAAAAACAGGAGAAAGGGATGTTCCATAGTAGGAAAAAGAAACACTTTTAAGAAAGGATTGAACAGATACCTCAAAGTCATGTATAAATAGAACAGAAACATGTTGGTGGTGAGAAACAGAAAGCCCAGATATATAATGTCAACATTTTTATTTTAGATATTTCACAGCTTTTCCAAGCTTTGATTAACTTTTGTATTGTCAGCCGTTTCATTTAAGTGTTTGTTATAACTGGATAACGTAACAATTAATGTATACAAGAACTATACTTTGTAGAGAATCTAACTATATACATATGTGTCTGTATCTGATATGTGTACATACCTGATTTCTTATACGCATAGTCATTTGTGTGTGTGTGTACACACTGCACTATCTCAAGAAAGAAAAGTTTGAACCTCTTGCTTAGAGAGAACAATTCTATTTTGTCTGGTTCTTATTCCAGCACAGTGAAGACAGGCTGAGGACTGATAACAGAAATCTAGAAGAGCTCACGGTGAATCACATGGAAGAAATGAAAGAAGTAAGAGCCAATAACAAAACTTTAGAGATACCTATGGTTTTGTTCATTGTCCTTCATTAAATGAACACATTAAAAACCAACACTGGTAGTTTGCATATCATTCACATGTAAATCTTTTTTCATGAAATATGTATTGATTTTCAATAGAGTACATGTATAGTATGTTGCCCAGAGAGGACAATTGACCGTGCAGGTAGGTGTGCTCAAGGTCACCTTCATTATTGTGGTAAATTTCATCCTTGTCATAGTAACTAACCTTCCAGCGGACTCTGTTTCTTGTTAGTAGACTTAGAAACCTGATTAGCCAGTGTCCTGTGAGTAGATCAGCTTCTCAAAGGTGGGCATCTATTAATCAAATTCAAAGAGAAGGTTGTAGGAAAAAAGACACTGGCTTATTAATTGACATTAACAAATACAATTTCTAGAGGAGCCAGACACATGTCCTGTGCCTGATACATTCTCTCCCTCTGGGCATTCTAGATGGGAAGCCATATTTAATCAGATGTTTACTTGATGAACAAATGATTCAAAACTTTTATAGCACTACTAAGACAACCAGATTTCTGCAACAGGACTATCTATACCTGCCCTCATTTCTGAACCTGTTATGTCCTCGGAGTACAGTACCTAGCCCTCAGATGGGTAGATACAGTCCAGAGGTATGGGGGTGAGAGAATTCACAGGAGACAGAGTGGGGAGCAGAACAGGAGGATTCACTGAAATACACTGCTGAGGGGAGCAGTGGGAGAGACAGGAGAGGTCTGCTGTGCCATGTGGGTAGCTCCCTGGCTGGCTGGGGATCAAACTGCAGAGGCTGCAGATAGCTTCACAGTGCTGTGCTTAACCCCTTGCGCCACCAGGGAGGCCCTATAATGATATCTTTCGACTCTCTTACTTTTTTTGACGTTCCCAGTACTTTTTTCTGATATACTCTTTATGTAAATAGTAAATTCTCTCAGGTTGTGTGGGAATCCTTCTGCTTGTATTTCCACATCTCAGCTCAGATAGGTAACATTGAATTTTAAATTGAACTCTTTGAATGCAATCTGATTTATAACTTTTTAAAGAAGAATACAGCTGGGCCTGCCCGGTGGCGCAGTGGTTGAGCGCTGGGTTGCAAAGCTGCCCGCAGCCTCTGCGGCGCCCGTTGGATCCCCGGCTGCTCCCCGGCCACCGGAGGAGGATCCCACATGGCGCGCAGACCTCTCCTGCCGCCCGCCTCTCCCCTCAGCAGTGTACTTCGGTCCTTCTGCCTGCTCTGCTCCCTGCTCTGGCTCTGGTGAATTCTCTCACCCTCCCGCGCTTCTGACTGTACCCAGTGCATGTATAAACAAAACAAACAAACAAACAAATAAATAAATTAAACATGCCTCTATTAAAAAAAAAATTAAAAAAAAAAGAAGAATACAGCTCTGTTAGCATAGAAATCACTATAGCATAATAAACTGCAAACTTTAACATTAGGTAGATGGGGTGGAAATTGTCTTTAGCACTGACTGTAATTTTGAGTGAGTTACTTCTTTGAGCTTGAAATTCTTCATCTGTAAGATGGGGTTATAATAGCTTTTTCAAAAGAATTTGTAAGGATTCTACAAGTTAATGTGTATAAAACAGTTCACACATGTACTTGGCACCAAGCACACATTCAATAAAATACAACTATTATTAAAAATAGGTATTCTGTCATTTTAAAGAGGAGGAAATAAAAGCTTACCGGAAAGTTATAAAGTCAGACTACAGTTCTGTGCTCCATCTACTATAACATTCAGCTTTTTGTTCATATTCTGAAGCATTATCCAGCAGGTCTCTAAACAAATATGCAAAATGTAATTCAATTATTTTCGTAGTTACTTCTAACCAATTTAGCATCCTATGTAAAACCTGACTCTGGTTCTCCCACACCTAAGTGTGAAGCCTGGATCTCCCCTTCATTTCTTGTGTGACAAGGCAAATCCTGCCTTTCTCAACCTGTTTCCTCATCTATAAGGCAGGAAGATAACAGTCCCATAGGGTTGAGTATCTTTAATGTAGTGCATGGAGTATAGGGTTGGCTTCCAATCTATCATCATTAGTCACATAAAAGTACATTTAGTGAAGGTGTCATATTAACCAGAAACTATAACAATAAACCAGAAATCCAACAATTTTTAAAATACAATTTCCTATTAACATTTCAGCCATCTAAATCATCTGTTTTAGCATAGGGGTGTAAATATCATTATTGTGTTGATTATTCTTTATTCATGGGTATCAGAACTATTTCATAAACCATAGGCAACTTGATCTGAAACCTGATATGTTAATGGAAAGAAATGTTAGAGATTGTGACTATCCCAGAAATTTGTTGTGATGTATCACTATATCTTTGGAAATGGTGTCTGATAGCATAGGACAGCTGGAAAGAAGTTTAGAGAGAGAGCCTACATGTAAGAAAGCTTAGTTTTCTATATGCCCCTCAGAATATAGACATGATAATTTGATAATCTCTTAACAGCTCTTTTATTTAAATAGCCTTTTAATGTGGCTAAAAATGTGAACCATGGACTAAGAATAAGAAAATGTTATTTTCTTTTTAGGTGGAAAATTATGGAAACCATGTCTGTAACTTAACAGATGAAAGAGAAGCATTTTCTCATAATTATAAAAAAGAAAACGAACAACTAAGACAGGAGTTCAAAGAGCTCCAACTCAAACACGGTAATTTTCCCTTTTATAAAAATGTAACTTTTGTTTCTAATGCTAAATGTTAATATGTAAAAATTATAGAAAATTCGGGTAATGTATAAATGTAGAAGGAAGAGGAAAATTACTGAATATTCTCAACTTAATATTTTAATTGTATTTAAACATTTAAAACTTGTCTTTTTAAAGTTTGTGTTCTGATAAGTATGAGAGAGCACAGGATGGTTATTTATTTCAGTGTCTAGTACAGCCTCTGCCTCACTCTGTCAATTACCTGTGTTAACTCCTCTAGGGCAATGATCACATTCTAGTCTAGTATTTTCTGTGCTATACCCCACAGCACCTGTGCTGTAAAGTATCTAGCATATTAAGGACTCAGGAAATATTTAAGTTCTACAAAGTCACAAGGGAAGATATAGATAGGACCCTTTTAGAATATTCTATTTTGTTTAACTCCATAAATTAGATGTTTTTATTATATATAGTCAATGATTATATATTATCACATATTTATTATTTTCTCTGCTTAGCTTTTTTCCTTCCATCTCAGATGTTCCATTTGGGGTCATTTTCCTTTTTTTCATTTTAGAACTCCCTTTCTAAAATGATGAAAGTTTTTCCTTTATTTTGAATCTCATGTGTCTCATGAGACAAATTAATATATATTTTGGGAGTCAAACAAAATATAATTGAGACTGAATTTCTTACTTAATCTTTGCATCGCTTTAAAAGTAATTGCAGACAAGGAACTCCAAACATGATTTGAGTTTCAACTATGTGTATACCTTGAAACTAAATGAAATGCTTTATGTGAATGCATAAATTGTAATGTTCTATTTAAACAAGAAGTGTTTCTTTTTTTGCCGGATGATACTCATTTTTGTGATTAAATTTTATTTTTTATAATATAAGCATAACCTCTTAGATATGTTAGTTTGAACCACATGAAACTGGACTTGAACCACAAGTCCACTATAATCAAATATTACCAACTTTATATGGTTCAACCTAATAATGAAATTCACATAGGCAAGATATTTTGTTCCTGCTTTCCCATATTAGCTTTCAAACATCTAGAGGAAATAGTACAATGTCATATGAGTACATTTGCTTTTTGTTTTATTACTAACAACAGTTTTATTACAGTCCCATAATGAAGAACTGAAAAGATTAAACATCACTAAACTGCCTAGAGAGAGATGTGGAGCAAGTAGCAGACAGGTTAGGGATGGCCCGCAAAGAGATCAGAAGGCTCACTGGTGAACTGCAAGGGAAGGAGCGAGAGCAGAGTAGATTAGGTAAGCAGTTGTCACAGATGGACATTTCTTACTGTGTAAGTGTGATTACATAATGTTATAATCAGGAATATAGTTTTAGCAAAACCAGTAGGTTATACTGGGATTTACTCCAAAGAACTGAAAGGTATGGAAGTAATAAGGAAAAATGCACAATTGTGCATGTGAGTACAGCAGTACTCACACTGTGATTAGGAATGATCTCTTAGAAGATTCATATTACAAGATTCATGTTATAATGTTAGCCTTTTACTTCAGGGGAGGTTTTCCTTCCCGCTATTATATGAGGCTCTCCAGCCAGTTCAGTAGTGATGAAGCCACCCTGGGAGGCAAAGTGATAAAACCTGGGTTAGTGAGTCCAGCTCTGAAGGACCCAGTGCCCCAGCTTCTTCCCTATGCCTTTCTGCCATCATACAATTCTTGAAGAGGTTCAAAAGCTGGTTCCTGAAATTTCATTTTGATATTTCTAGCCACAACTGGCAAAATTCTAAATATTGTTCATTGGAAGGATGAATTTTAAGTATTTCTGGATATAATTTCTTTTTACAAAACAGATAGTGCCATGGTTAAAAACTTCAGCTGTTTGTACTGAATACAGTCGTGCAAACTTTTCAGGATGGAATCTGGTAAAGGAAGCAAATAAGGAAAATTGTGAATAAATACAGGGTACAGTAGGAACACTAAAGAGGGAATCAGAAAAAACCTCTTGGATGAGGTGACGTTTATACAGAAACTCAGAGAACAATTAGCCAGGGGACAGGGAGTGTTGCAAAGAGAGATCACTTCAGATTTGATTAATCACTTGTTCCTTACATAGATATTCTTTTTCCCTTTAGATTCTGCACTTGAGAAGGCACAACTAGAAATTGAAAAATTGAAAGAAAATTTGATAAAACTAAAAGAAAATGGTGAGTTATTCTGGTAGATATACTAATATTTTAAAATATGTCAAATTATAAATTACTACTATTATTACTCTTCTATTACTACTATTACTGCTGCTACTACTTGTTGTTCACTAAGTGACAGTCTGCCAGGCACTTAGATGGGTTATCTCTAATCCTCACAACAGTTCCTAGTAGTGAGTATTCCCATTTCATCAATAAAGAAACTGAGTCATGACAAGATTGAGTAATCCAATAGCTATATTTAGTGTTAGAACTGGTATTTGAATTTCCATAACCTGTGATCAACATATATAAGGCACATTTTACTAAAACACTGAGATCAAGATACCTTATAATGCAGTTAGTAATGCCTCACACATATTCACTTGGAAGTTAATCTGACCCTAGCTTGACTATGTAAAAATGCTACCAGCAATCAATAAAACAATGAAATTTGAGTGTTGTAAGTTAACAACCACAAAAATAATTAAGACTATATTTAACCAGTTTTTATTAATACTAAATTTAGATTTGCCCTCCTTTTAAAAATTATAAAAAATATAATTATAAAGTGAATACTACTCTCTTAGTAATTGATAGACCAGTAAATAGAAAAGCAGTGAGAATATACAAGGTATAAAAACACTACCAATTACTGACCTAATTGATAGTGATAGAAAATTCCATGAAAATACACCTTTTGTGAAATCAAACCAAAGATAATATGTCAAAGTAGAAAAGAGAAGGATGCACTGAGTGACTGCCTGTAACTACAACTCTTTAGTGGCACTGGACATTTGTTTGTATTTGTTTATTTATAGGGGTGTGTTCTTAGAAGATGTTTAAGAGTCTACGGTCAGTGTAGGCAATGATAAGAATTACATGAGGGCCTCTCTGGTGGTGCAGCGGTTGAGCGCTGGGTTGCAATGCTGCCCGCAGCCTCTGCAGTGCTGGTTCGATCCCCGGCTACCCCCCAGCCACCGGAGGAGGGTTCCACATGGCGCGCAGACCTCTCCTGCCGCCTGCTGCTCCCCTCAGCAGTGTACTTCGGTCCTTCTGCCTGCTCTGCCCTCTGCTCTGGCTCTGGTGAATTCTCTCACCCTCCTGCGCTTCCGACTGTACCCAGTGCTTGTACAAATAAATAAATAAATAAATAAATCTTTAAAAAAAAAAAAATTACATGAGAATGTAAAAATGTGCTTTAAACTATGCAGTGGCCTCAACTGTAATAATTAATTGTAACCTTATGAATACATAAAAGGAATGCACCTTTTTTCCCCAAGAATACATGGAAAATTCACCAAGAGAGACCATTCTGGACCATAAAACAAATTTCAGTGGAAGAACTGAAATCATACACATTCTATGGTTTTTTTTTTCTTTTTTGGTGTGTATTCAGAATTTTTTTTAAAAAGATTTATTTTTTTATTTATACAAGCACTGGGGTACAGTCAGAAGTAGGGGAGGGTGAGAAAATTCACCAGAGCCAGAGTGGGGAGCTGAACAGGCAGACTGATGAAGTACACTGCTGAGGGGAGCAGCGGACACAGCAGGAGAGGTCTGCGCGCTCTGTGGGACCCTTGCTGGCGGCCGGGGATCGAACCGGCGCTGCAGAGGCTGCAGGCAGCTTCACAACCCAGCGTTCAACCGCTGCGCCACCGAGGAGGCCCCAGAATTTTTAAAATTTAAGAAGTATACATACTAAGTAGGGAGAAAAAAAGAAAAAAATTAATACAAGTTAAAAACATGACAGGCAGACCTCCCCTGGTGGCGCAGCGGTTGAGCACTGGGCTGTGACGCTGCCAGCAGCCTCTGCAGCGCAGGTTTGTTCCCCTGCCCCCAGCGAGGGTCCCACAAAAAGAAAATAAAAAAACGAAGACAGGCAATGAAGGAGGAAAACAAGGAAGATCTTAAAGCAGCAAAATAAGGGAACTATAAGTTTAAAATAGTTAAAAAGAAACAGTTTCAAAGCAGGAAAGTTACAGACAGCGAATTTGTATTTTTTTTATTTATTTTTTTATTCTTATATTCCCCATACAATTGCAACCCCCTGATTTTGACCCCAAAGTGTGTCTCTGGTTCATAGTTGTTTGTTGATTTTGATTTTTTTCTTTCTTATAGTTATTCTTTTTCCTGGTCCCTTATTTAGATTTTCTAGATTCCTGTTATGAGTGAGACCATCCGGTATTTTTCTTTTTCTTTCTGGCTTATTTCACTGAGCGAATTTGTATTTTTGAAGCTTTGATAAGTGTTAGGAAGAGCACATCTTAACGTGAGGTGCTAAGTTGAATGTGAACTACCATTTTATGGGTTGTGGTTCAGGCAGACGACGGTTTTAGTGAATTAACTTGATGTCACCTGGAAAATCTGTCCACTCCTTCTCCTAATTTACTACTATATTCATTTTTGGGGCTGCACTGATGAGTGAGAGAGAATTAGTTAGAAGTAAATGAGGTGTGAAAGAGACACAGTTACAAAAAAGCCAGGAAGATAACTTTCTTGGTCACTTAACTTTTAGAAAAGTCAGGTTCCTAAAAGAGCCTCAATTGCCAGAAGCCCTACACTTAAAAGGTCCAATTCAAGACTGGAGTAAGAAAAAACATTCTGCTCTGTTTTGTTAGGCAGAATTTTCTATGACTGGACTTGAGATTCTCCTGTGCTGAGAATCTCATATGCAGAGATAAGGTAGGACTCACATGAAGGGCAGGAAATGGTTCTTCCTTACTTTACAAAGTTAATGCCCCCAAATGGAAACCTTGATCCAGTTGAATAAACTGGGCTCTTTTCTCTGTCTTAGATTCAGTTGAGCTACAGAAAGCAAAGAAACATAATCAGAGATTGGATGAGGAAATTTTGGCTTTAAGAAACCGGGTTCGATCACTCGATTCAGATAAAAAAGCACTTGGAGAAGTAGTAAGTTGGTTCATTTACTGTGTTCTGAGAAGATATTTAAATGTATATACAATAACAATAAGCTTCTAGAGCAATGTATATTGCCTCCTTGTGAGGACTGACACTGTGACTATAGCATCCCACACAGATGCCACACTTTGACCTGGATTCAGGATTTATATATTTTAACTGGCTTTGTTCAAAAGTAATGTTATTACAATTGTGTTCATATAAAATCTTTTCTTTTTAATTAGGATTTAGGTAATACTTTATACTGAAATTTCTATTTCTATTTCAATTCTACTGTATCAGGTATATCTGGGATTATCAATGTTAAACCCTTAGTTGTGTTACATTTTTGAAGCATTTCTTCTTAACAGTTTATTGATTTTTTTTTTTAAACATGTACTGCTAAGTCAGTCACCAAAGGACAAATAACATGAGGTGGAGAGCAGGCCAAATTATAGAGACAGACAGTAGAATGGTGGTTGCCTGGGGGCGATGGAGAACCACTCAATGGGAGCTATTATTTGATGGATATAAAGTTTCAGTTCTGCAAGATGATGAGAGTTCTGGATATGGATGGTGGTGATGGTTGCACAGTAATGTGAATCTACTTAATGCTACTGAACCATACACTTAAAAATGGTTAACATAGTAAATTTAGTGTTATATATTTTATCATAGTTTTAAAATGTAATTGTAAAAATAGAGACTGTTCAAATTGTCTTGGTCTTCATAAATTTATATACCACTGATAATTATATATATAAATGATTATGTTTATATAGTTATATAGCTATATAACTGCATATAAATGATAATTTAATATATGTGTACACACACATACATACACATAAGAGATAAAGTTCAAGAAAGGTACATCCCAGTGCAACTTCTGAAAATAAAAGGGGATTGTGGTGTAAGTTTATATGAAGGAAAATATAATTTTTTATATTCCTATGTATTGTTTGAATTTTTATATAGAGAATGTATTCACTTATTATATATTTTAAAATTCAAGTATCTTCCCTGCCCCACACGTTTGTATTTCAAATACTTTGGTATTAAAGGTTGAAAGACTTAAAGAAGAGATTCATGAATCGCAAGAGAATAAGAGACCTGGAATTCACTCCCCTGGAAAAAACGTGGGTGCTGAGCAAAGAGTAGAGGTATTTTAAAGTTATATTCTTTCTGTTTTCAGTATTTTAAAGTGAGTCGCATTTTCACAGATATACCAGAGAAACTGGTGCTGACTATTTGCTACTCTTTTCATATTTACTGTCTTTTTCTATTAACTAGCCAGTTAGAGTGGAGGAAGAAACTGGGGTACAGAGAATGTATTTCTGTTCACGCTTCCCCTCTGGCAACAATTAATATGAATACAATGAGTTGTTCCTTTAAAGAAAAAAAAACAAATCTTACAAAAATAATCAATTTTTTGGGCCTCCCCTGGTGGTGCAGCGGTTGAGTGCTGGGCTGCCCACAGCCTCTGCAGCGCCAGTTTGATTCCTGGCAACCAGTGAGGGGCCCACATGGTGCGCAGACCTCTCCTGCAGCACCTGCTGCTCCCTTCAGCAGTGTACTTCATCAGTCTGCCTGTTCTGCTCCCCGCTCTAGCTCTGGTGAATTCGCTCACCCTCCCGCGCTTCTGACTGTACCCAGTACTTGTATAAATAAATAAATAAATCTTAAAAAAAAAAAACAATTTTTATATTTTTAATTATCAATCAATATTCTATTAATTTATGGAATCAACTGATGGGGGAACCACACTAGCATAATAAAATATCATCGGGGCCTCCCTGGTGATGCAGCGGTTGAGCACTGGGTTGTGAAGGTGCCTGCAGCCTCTGCAGTGCCAGTTTGATCCCCGGCCGCTGGCGAGGGTCCTACATGGTGCGCAGATCTCTCCTGCCACCCTCTGCTCCCCTCAGCAGTGTACTGCGTCAGTCTGCCTGCTCTGCTCTCCCCTCTGGCTCTGGTGAATTCTCTCACCCTCCTGCGCTTCTGACTGTACCCAGTGCTTGTATAAATAAATAAATAAATCTTTTCAAAAAATAAATAAAATAAAATAAAATATCATGGGCCTCCCTGGTGGCTCAAGGGGTTAAGATGCAACCTACGAAGCTGTCCGCAGCCACTGTAGCATGAGTTCGATCCCCATCTAGGGAGGTGATCCACATGGCGCAGCAGACCTCTCCTGTCTCGCCCGCTGCTCCCCTCAGCAGTGTATTTCAGTCAGTCTGCCTGTTTGCCTGTTCTTTTCCCCACTCTATCTCTGGTGAATCCTGTCACCACCCGCACCTCTGGTCTGTACCCCAGTTCTTGTATGCATAAATAAATAAATCTTTAAAAATAATAATTTAAAAAAATTCCATGTAGTAATAATAGATTTAGGCTCTAGGGTGTGCAATGTCTAATCTCTTCAGCATAAGACTGAAACAGGCCAATATGTTTAAGATAGGACTGTTTCAGAGTTAAGGTCAAAGAGCTAGACTGCTTTGGGACAGCCTTTCCTCTTACATACTTAACAGGAGTGACATCCTGTGTTGCTCGGTGATCTTATTAACAAAGCTTGTCTTTGCTGTTTAACTCCCTGGGCCCTATTTCCCAAACAGACCTCTAAGATATCAAGGAAACTATAGTTACAGTGCTTTTTTGGCTCCTTGCCTATAAAACTAGTATCCCTCCTGTCTTCCAAATACCCTGCTGCTGGTAAATAATGTACTTTTGTAAAAAGAAAGGGAGGGAGGAGAGAGGAAATGAAGAAAGGAGGAAAGGAAAGAAGAAATTTCTAAGGTCATTAGTAACTTTTACCAAAAGTATTCCCAAAGAATCCACTGGTACTCCAATTTAGTGTAAGTTTGTTAGTAACAATTTGTATAGTTTCTTATACTTCCAGCATTTTTTAATTCAAGTATAAACAATTTGAATATTTATTTAGCTTTCCTCTTTTCTTGCTTGTGTTTTGTTTTTTGTCTTTTTTTTTTTTTTAACCAAAATGCTCCGAGAGATCCTTCCATGTCATACAAAGAGATCTTCCTCATTCTTTAGAACAGTCTAGTATTCTATTGGATGGATGAACTATAATTAATTTGAACAAGTCTCCTATTGATTGCCATTTGGGTTGTTTCCGATCTTTTACCTTTTTTTTTTAAAGATTTATTTATTTATGCATATAAGAGCTGGGGTATAGGCCAGAGATGTCGGGGGGTGAGAGGATTCACCAGAGACAGAGTGGGGAACAGAACAGGCAGATTGACGGAAGTACACTGCTGAGGGGAGCAGTTGGCGAGACAGGAGAGGTCTGCTGCGCCATGTGGGTTGCTCCCTGGCCGGGGATCGAACTCGTGCTGTAGAATCTGCAGACAGCTTCATAGGTTACGTCCTCACCCCTTGCGCCACCAGGAAGGCCCTGTTTCCAGCCTTTTACATATAATGCAGGTGTTTCTGTAGGATAGAGTTTCAGAAATGGGATTGTGATGTTAGAGGGTAGGTGCATCTATAATTTTGATCGATATTGTTAGGTACACCTCAGTGGGAATTATACCACTTTCCTTTCCCATCAGCAATGTATAAGAAAGAGGGTTTCCAAAAATATTCAACAGAATTTATTGTCAAACCTTTGGTTTTTTGTTAAATGATAGTGAGCATTGACACTTCAGTGTAGTTTTAATTTTTGTCTATTTTTAGAAATATGTATTTTTTCATGTTTATAAAAATTTCATGTTAAAATTTTTTTTCATGTTTATAAAATGTTTATATTGAAACATTTAATACAATATAAGCATATATATCTTAAGAGTAGTTCTATGAGCTTTGACAAATGTATAGCCACAACTACTGCAATCAAGAAAACATATCCATTAGTCTAAAAATTTCCCTCCCCCTTTGCTATCAGCCTTGCCGCTGCATACTTTCTTTTCTAGAATTTCAAGTACATAGAATCACCCAGTATATATTCTTTTGTGTTTGACTTCTTTCACTTATGGCAATGCTTTTGAGATTTCTCTGTGTTGTTGCCTGTAACCAGTAGTTCACTTTGTATACAGGTTGCTGAGTAATATTCCTCCATATGGGTACATCACACATTGTTTATCTGCCCACTGGTTGATAGTCAAATTGTTTTGACTGTTATGAATAAAGCTTCTACTAGTATTCACTAGTCCTTCCCCCCTGCTATGGAATTACTGAGTAGAATTACTGAGTCATAGAGTGAGCTTATGTTTAATTTTATAAGAAACTTTCAGAATGTTTTACCAAAGAAGTCCTGTTTCTCTCATAAATGGTATGAAAGTTTTAATTGCTCCTCACCTTCACCAATGTTATTGTCAATCTTTAATTTTAACTATTCTAGTGGACATGTAATATTATCTCATTGTGATTTTTTTTATTTTTAAAGATTTATTTATTTATGCATACAAGAACTGGAGTACAGGCCAGAGGTGGGGGGGGGCATTGAGAGGATTCACCAGAGACAGAGTGGGGAACAGAATGGGAATACACTGAAATACAGTGCTGAGGGGAGCAGCAGGCTAGTCAGGAGAGGTCTGCTATGTCATGTGGGTAACTCCCGTCATGTGGGTAGCCCCCTGGCCAGGGATCAAACTGGTGCTGCAGTGGCTGCAGATAGCTTTATAGGTTGCGTCTTAATGCCTTGCGCCATGGAGGGAAGGCCAGAAGCAGAATGTTTCAAATGAGATTCAACTTAGTTGCCCAGTCCCTCTACAGCTTGGTGCTGTGCTTGGGAAATGAAGTTAAATAAGATGGAGATGTAGTCCTGTAGAAATCCTCTGACATCTCTTCTAGGACCAAGATATCCTTAATGTTGTCATTTTTTGGAGTCAGTGCGGGGTCCTTGGGATTACTCTGGGAAAGACTTCACCAGAGCTTCCCTTTCAGCGGCATGCGGCGAGTTTCTCCATGAGACAGAAATGGTAGTTACATTTAAAGGGCAGGTTTATTAGGGAAGGAATAAAACAGTTAAAGACACTTGCAGAGACACAAGCAGGCAGGAAAAGCTGCCCCAGAAGGGACAGGTTTGCTCAGAGAGGCCTGCATGGTTGCAGGAAGGGTGGCCTTGACAGTCCCAGGCAGGCAGGAAGCTGCTGCCCTGCAGAGGAAGAGGGTTGGTGAAAAGGGGCACCTGCATAGTCACAGGTGGGCAGTGGGATTGGTGCTCATTGTGATTTTTAATTTGACTTTTGAGAGTATCCAGTGACAAGAAGATTGTTTGTATGTGTCCATTTATACATGTTCTCTTGTGAAACATCTGCTCAAATATTTCACTCATTTTTAATTGTTATATGTATTCTTTATATTGAGTTGTGGGAATTCTTTATGTATTTGGGATATTAGTCCTTCATTAAGTACATGTATCTCAAATATTTTTTCCCAGTCTATGGCTTGTCTTTTCATTTTCTTAGCAGTGTGTTATAAAGACTGGTTGCTTTAAAAAATTTATGGGTCCCAATTCATCAATATTTTCTTTTATAACTTATGATAGAATGCAAAAAGTCAAAGAAATCTTTATTTACACTAAAGTCACAATATATTTCTCCTATCTTTTCTTCTAAAGATTTTATAATTTTAACTTCTACATTTAGGTTTATGATCCATCAAAAATATTTTTTGTATATGTATGAGGTAAGGGTTAAGGTTCATTTACTTCCAGATGTATATCCAATTATCCCAGAATATGTGGCAGTTATTTCCTTATTGAATTACTTCGGCATCTTTATTGAAACATCAGTTATACAGGTCTATTTCTGGACTCTATTTGATCCATTATTTTATATGTTTGTTCTTAGTACAATACCATGCTGTTTCTCCTTTTCAAAGTTATTTTAACTATTCCAGGTCCTTTACATTTCCATATGTATTTTTTTTAATTATTTATTTACTTATTTGTTTATTTATACAAGCACTGGGTACAGTCAGAAGCGTGGGGAGGGTGAGAGAATTCACCAGAGCCAGAGCGGGGAGCAGAGCAGGCAGAAGGACCAAAGTACACTGCTGAGGGGAGCAGCGGGCGGCAGGAGAGGTCTGTGCGCCATGTGGGACCCTCCTTCGATGGCCGGGGAGCAGCCAGGGATCGAACCGGCGCTGCAGAGGCTGCGGGCAGCTTCGCAACCCAGTGCTCAACCGCTGTGCCACCGGGGAGGCCCTC